GGAGTCCACTGGGAGAGCAGAGACCTGGAGCCGCCCCTCACCCGGAGCGAGGAGCTGGCCACCCCAGTTCCTGGAGAGAAGCCTTTATAGAGCTTAGGGAGGCGCGTTCCCTGTAAGCTGTGCGCTTGGGTGGCCCCCAGCTGATTGGCAGAGCGCCCACAATGCCCAGCAGCTTGTGGTTCCTGGTGGTGCACATCCGCACCTACCGCAGCGCATGACGGATGTAAAAAAATGGAGCATTGGTGGGAGGGAGGCCAGGGTTCGGCCTCATGTGGCTTTGCTCAGGACGTGTGTACGCGAGGTGCTGACGCCACAGTCTGTCAGGGGGGCTAATAACCAGGCCTCTTCTCCTCCCTCCTTTGTCTCCGGTCTGTGTGGGCTGCAGAGCCTCCCGGCAGGGACTTGGTATGCACAGGGGGCCCTGCTGGGCTCTCGGTGCCCTTGAAACACGCACAAAAGCGGCCTGCCAGGCAGCAGCAGGTATCCAGACTTCAGAACTTTTCAGCAGACGCTTTGTTTTGTAGCAGTGGCTTGGTATCAGCCGGCAGCATTGTTTGAGCCGGTCTTTGTAACTTTGTAAGAATCCCGCCCCTGGCATCGGGAGGGAAGTTTTCTCCTCTGAACTGGACCGTCCTTGTGTGAGCGGGACTGTGGGAAGACACGGAAAGGGCCAGCGCCCGGCCGGTTAGCAAGGAGGCGGCACTCTGGCGAAAGCGTGGCAGAACTGACGACGGAGGCAAAAGGCCCACACCTAGGAACCAGGAAACCAGCTGCTGCCACGCCCAGGACACTCAGCACCGTGCAGCTGGGGCCTGGCCCTGGTAACGCCATGCCGTGACTGCAGCACGACAGTGCAAAGCTCACAACTCTAGAGTGGGCCACGTGCAAATGCAAAGTTTCCAGCCGACAATCTTGCCGTGGCTTTGCCTGCCTCTTCCCCCACTAGCTTGGGGCCTTTAGAAAAGCCCCTGGGCTGGAGAATCGGGCAGAGCACCCGCCCGCCCGCTACCTGGGGGAACTTCAGGAGAGGCAGAATTCAGCTCCCAGCTTCACTCTTGTGCAGCTTTGACTAGCCAATTAAGACCCCTCCCACTCATCCCCTGCGGTCCTGCCCCCAGCTCAGAGTCCCTCCGACAGCTCCCCCCATCCTTCAGCGGCTCAGGGCAGCTCCCCCTCCTGTGCCCAAGGCCAGAAATAAGCTGTAGCCAGCTGTGTTGGTTAGGGGGAGGCACCAGCAGGGGGCGGCAGAGCCCACGTGCACCTGGCTGCCTTCCTGCCCCACTGACTCAGGAGCAGGGGTCTGGAGGCCCAGCCATCAGCACAAGTCCAGGGAAAAGCCACGTGCTCCCAACCGCTATGTGGCCAACGGGGATGCTCAGCAGTTTGTGGGACACTCGGTGCCCGGCTCTGCGACCACCTGCCCTGCTGGGGCCGGGGCTAAGCGCTTTGCCTTAGCCCAAGGGGCCCATGGCGGATGGGGAAGTGGGGACACACTCCAGGGAAATTCCTTCACAATTACATGGGCCACTATAGGAAGACAGGACACTGGGCTAGATAGACCTGTGGGCTGACCCAGTGTGGCCATTCTTATGTTCTTATGTTCACACAGATGTATTAAAAAGTAAGGATGTTAAGGACTAGTCGACTAGTCGATCCCCCCCCCCACACACACACACTTTTTAAACTTTTTTTTCAAAATGTACAGTTTATTTACAAGCACGTCATGGCTACAGTGGAAAGGTTTGGAATAAAGTTATCCATAAAATATTGGCCATAGCCGGGCAGGGAATCATAAGATCATCAAAAATAAGGCCTCTTACCAGTTATGTTCATTGGAGTTTAAGTTTCAAGTAGCCGAGGTCTAAAAAAACCACGTATCCATAAAATATTGGCCATAGCCGGGCAGGGAATCATAAGATCATCAAAAATAAGGCCTCTTACCAATTATGTTCATTGGAGTTTAAGTTTCAAGTAGCCGAGGTCTAAAAAAACCACGTTGCTGGATTTCTCCTGTTAAAGCTGCTGTACGCCAGGTTAGAAGGCGGCGTGACCAACCTGCCAGACCCTCCCCCCGGCTGGAACTCCCCGA